AAAGATAAAAAGGACTTGGCATTGCTACTTTCCACTTGTTGATATATTTTAGTCGATCATTGTTATATCTATAACTTATTCCCTCTCGAATACTCAATCGGGGAGTATATCCACTTCATCGAGGGTAGTTATTAACAACAACCGTTCATTAATAACCCTTACTAGTAATCAAATATAGAACAACGCCTTATACCGATTTAATAGTAGCAATTAATCTTTCTAACTCCTTGATGAAATCAATTGAGATTGATAACCTCAACACAACGGTTTCGGTTTAACCAACAAAATTAATCCCTCTTAGGTTTATTAACCACGACCATGCATTAATAAACCGAAGTTACTTACTTGTGAAACCATCAACGATTAACCATCGGTTCGTTGATCGTTTCTAGTAATAATTAATATATGAAACAAAACTAGTTGATCCTTTAAGTAATGTTCAAAATATTAATATGAAATATGAATAGGAATTAATTAATATTCAAGGAAGAATATTATTAAAGAAGATGAATCTTACTATAATTAATATCAAGATGTTAACTAATTGTCATCTTAGCAACACTCCCCAACATTAATATAGAGGAAGAAAATACTATTCTAACTAATGTCGAGATGTTAACTAATTGTCATCTTAGCAACACTCTCCAACATTTATATAGAGATGGTATTAAGGAAAGAACTATTAATTAATATTCAAGGAAAGAAGTTAAGAAAATAACTCACAACTTTAATAATCAACAAGCTTCAAGAGCAACACCAAGAATGGAAGTTTAGCTCCTCATTTGGAGACTAAACATAGCTACAAAAATATAAAGAAATGTTATTCTAAACTGAGCTTAAGAGTATGGAAGAAGGGATGATTTTTAGAGATGAAAAAGTGTGCTATTTATAGGTGTTTTTCAACACCTTTGGCCGGGTACCCGACGGGGTCAAGTACTTACCCGACCGGGTCCGGTCAAAATAAAATAATCCGCCACGTTCTGGTGATCTTCGCACGTCGTTTTGTCCCGGGTCACATCTGACCCGGCCAGGTCAAGTAGGGGACCCGACCGGGTCCAGTGACTTTCTTGGCAATTTCGTCTGTTAAATCATACCCGACCGGGTGGGGGTTTCTACCCGGTCGGGTTTTACTCTTGGGCAGTCAAATTTCTTGTTTTCTTCTCTTCAAAGTATTCCTTTCCAAAACCACAAATCCTAACTATACTTTACAACTTATAAAAAAAGATTAAAATACAATTACAACTGAAATCACATTAATGTTTACAAACTAAATAAAACGTCAAACAATCAACATAAATCAAACATAAAAACATATAATTATGCACTACTAATTAGTGTGCATCAAACACCCCACATATAAACCTTTACTCATCTCGAGTAAATCAAATCCGGTCCAAGAAGTCCTTAGAATGACAAGAATATCAACACACACATCCACGAGTGTTTTTAGAAACACATAAAGTATATCCCCAAAAATATAATAGTAAAGAGGGTCTTCAACTCCATATTTCTTTATCAACCTCAACCTTTTTTTTCGTTACCCTTAGGATCCTGCATAAATAAAAGAAAATACTTTCTCTTGTTCTCTCATTTTGCCTATGTGACCTTTCGGGTTTTCATCCCAGCTTCCCACATTTTTCTGTTTTAATCCTCACAACTCACTCTTATTTTTGCTTTATTTTTGCTTAAGTTGCCCTTTCGGGTTTTCAACTTAACAAGCTTTTATAATTTTTTTTACAAGAATAAAGAGTATGAATATGAGTATTCCATAAAACTCTCCCCCCAAGCTAATCAAAGCATTGTCCCTAGTGCTTGTGTCTGAGATGAATGTTTTTTTTGGGTTACTTTTTGGAAGGTTTTGTTGGTGATTCGTGGGTGTGGAGATGAAAAGGGTGAAGAGGTGATGAATGAAATGGGTTTAATTGGTGGCTGGATGTAGGAGATATGAAGCTTTTGACTTTTGGAAATGGAGCAAATTTGGGGTGTGGTTCGAATGGGAAGAAAAGAAAATCGGAAAGAAAAGCTGCCCGCTCGCACCCTTATCGGGCTTTTGCCCGACCGCCCGACCGGGTATAGTGACTGACCCGGTCGGGCGTAAGCTGTTCACCCGAGGCAGAGAGTTTTTTGCTGGGTTGCCCGACCGGGTATAGGGGTCTACCCGGTCGGGCGGTTGATTTATTCTTTGTTCTTCATCTGCCTCGCCCGGGCGGTTGGCCGGGTGCTGTGTTTTAAGAGGTAACCCGACCGGGTAGGGTTTTATACCCGGCCGGGTTCAATCCCAAGTCATTTTTTTTTTGTTTTTTTTTGAAATGTGTAAAAATAAAATAAAACAAGTAAACGAACCTTGCATGGGTTTCCTCCCAAGAAGCGCCTTATTTAACGTCGCGGCACGACACCATCATTGTGTTCAGTCATTCAAACTTGGATCATGATAGTTTATCTTTCTCACACTTTCACTCCTATGACGTTCATAGGAGTGCTCAACTTCTCGACTCTTCAATTTGGGAATCTTTCCAGGATCAAATATCCAGATTGTCATTGATTCATGCGGTTGGAGGAAAGGGAAGAAATTATCGTTTACTATGGTCAATGAAAAGTTTTTCGATCCCTCAATTTTGAAGAGGATTTCAGAAATGTCATTGTCCTTTCCAAGTTTATGAGTTTCCCTCAAAATTTTTAGAATTGATGGGGGTACCTCAAAAGATGACAAGGATAGATATTTAACCTTGAAGCTCAGATTATCCTCTTCTTTGACCAGTTGGAGCTCCGTGTCTTTTTCTTCCTCTACTTCTCCTGGATTCTGGATCTCCTTTTTCATTTCCTCTTCATTTGTCAATGTGATTGTAAAAGTTTGCTGTCTAGGATCACACTCTAGTTGAGAAGGAGGTTTTTCTGAATCCCTTGCTTCAAGCCTACTCACGACTCCGACTATTTGACTCATTTGAGTTTCCAAGTTCAAAATGCTAGATTTGGTCTCATTTTGGAATTGCACCATGTTTTGTTGCATGGCGGTCACACTGTTAGTAAGAGCCCGAACCATGTCCTCCGTGGACATATTAGAGTTGGAGAATGAATCATATCTCATGTGAGGTACATCATCAATTTGTGCAAGATATTCTTCTTGGAGCTTTGGGCAGAAGTCCGTAAGATGCATGTGAGACATGCAAATGTTGCATGTCTTGGCATCTTGAGCTTTTGAATTAAAGATAGATTCCTTTATTAGAGAAGTCAAGAAGGAAATTTGACTCTCTAAGGATGAATTGTTGGTATCCATATACTCATAACTCATGTAAGCTCAGAAAATAGATGACATGCACTTGTCGTTAGGTGCACTCAAAATAAATACAATACAACGAATATACGTAGTATAACGAAGTAAGGTTCGTATCCACAGGGAAATGAATACTTTTCTTTTATATAAGTAGTAACAAGGGGGGTTTAGATTTGTTTGGTTTAAAAACACTAAGATAAACAACCTATATGAGTTTAATTCAATGAGATGAGGACTTGGTTTTGCTTTTATCCACTTAATGAAATGTTCGTCGATCCCGGTTATATCTTTAACTATCTTCCTCTTGAATACTCAATCGAGGAGTATATCCAGTTCATCGAGGGTAGTTATTAATAACGAGATGCGTTCATTAATAAAACTTACTATCGAGTCAATATAGAACAAGCGCCGTATATTAACTTGATAGTAGCAATAAACTTAAGATGAAAACGATTGAGATTGATAACCTCAACACAAGCGGTTTATTGGTTTAATCAATATAATTAATTCCCCTTGACATATTAACCATGAGATGCATGCATTAATATTCCAAGTTTACTACCGTTGAAAGAACCGAATTAATAACAAGCGTATTAACCGATTGATTCTAGTAATAATCAATATGAGAATCAATACTAGTTGATACTTTAAGTAATGTTTAAGATATTAACATGAAATATGAATAGGAATTAATTAATACTCAAGGAAGAATATTAAAGAAAATGAATCCTACTATGATTAATATCAAGATGTTAACTAATTGTCATCTTAGTAACACTCCCCAATATTAACATAGAGGAAGAAATAGCTATTACTATAACCAATGTCAAGATGTTAACTAATTGTCATCTTAGTAACACTCCCCAACTTTGATATAGAGATAGTATTTTGAAAGAAAGAATTAATATTCAAGGAAGAAGATTAAAGAAAATAACTCAAAACTTACAAATTCATTAAGCTTCAAAGTAGCAAAACCAAGATGGAAGAGTTTAGCTCCTCATTTGGAGACTAAACATGATGAAAAATATAAAGAAAGAACTATTCTATACTGAGCTTAGATGTACAAAGGAATTGGATATCTTTTTGTGAAGGAAAGGAGGTGTATTTATAGGCTTTTGGGATGGGATTCGGGTACTCGATCGGGTATATACATGGTACCCGATCGAGTACGTGTGTAACACTCGATCCGAGGTATACTCGACCGGTTTCAGGCTATTTTCTATAAGTATACCCGATCGAGTATATATTAATACCCGGTCGAGTATGTTTAGAAAATGGTATTCGGACCATACTCGACCGATCTTCGTCTGAAATTCAAAGGCATACCCGATCGGGTATGTCGGTCTACCCGATCGGGTATAGACATAAAATCGTGGCTGAAATCTTCCCGGCATGTTCCCTTGTCTTCGGATCTGATCCGATTTGATGTTCCAACCTAATACCCGATCGAGTATAGCTAATACTCGACCGAGTATAGACCAAAATTCAGGATCTTCTTTTGTCTTTGAACTTTTGCACCTTCTTTCCACTTTTTGGGTTCACCAACTGTACTTCGAGTGATCAATACCTGTTTGAGCTCAGAGTATATCTAATCTAACTTATTTACAAGAATTTAACAAACTAATCTATTACACCAAAAGTGTGTAATTTCCAAAGTAAAGGTCAAGCAAAACTAATTAAAAATACAAACATAAATATGGAAATTATGAACGTATCAACTCCCCCACACTTAAACCTTTACTCGTCTCGAGTAAGATCAAATGTTTACAAGTGTCAATGTTTGTCTAAAAGTTCCACAGTTCAACAAAAACACAATACAAACACAAAGACCACCAAGGATGACAAAGAAAAATGAGTTTTAAACTCAAATTACAAAAGAGCATCTTGGGTTTAATGGCCTCCTAGTGTTATCTTCTCTTCTCCTCCTCTCTTCTTCTTTATCTTGAATCTTCTTATTCTTCACAAGGATACGATGAGTGCCTGCAAGAACAAACATTTCTCTCATATCTTTCATTTTGCCTAGGAGCCTTTTCAGGTTTTCATCCTAGCACCTCTTTTCATTTTCCATTCTCTCCAACTCACTCATTTTTTTTTCTTTTTATATAAACCCTTTTTGCTTAGATTGCCCATTTTGTTGGGTTTTCAACCTAACTAGCATTTATTTTCTTTTGTTTATTTTATTTATTATTTTTTTGTGTGTAAAAGTTCAAAAGAATTACATGCATAGTGCTAGGTAGAAATGAAAATTACATACCATCATGAGTGTCTCCCCCGCACTTGAATCAAGCACTGTCCCTAGTGCCCGCCTTCTCCTCCGTAGTAGCTCCCTCCGAAGCCGCTCCCTTGGCCACCGTCTCCCATATACGTGTCCCCGCCATCTCTGCCGTCGTACCCTCCACCCCCGGAGCCAGATCCTCCAAAGTTATCCCAATGAGTGGGGTCATACCACGAGGGTGGTGGAGGGGGGTTCGCCATGGTATGGAAGGATCCCTGCTGTGCCATATAAGAGTACATAGGTCCGTAGAACCTATGTTGGTCTTCCTCATACCGATGTCTATCGGCCTCCCTGAGCTCCTCCAATCGCTGAAAGCCGGCTCTTTGCTCATCCTCTAATCGCTGAAAACCGGCTCTTTGCTCCTCCTCTAATCGGTTGAGCCGGTTGTCCATTTGGGCTATTCCCGTAAGCAGTTGTTGTTGACCCTCCAGAAGTTGTTGAAAGAAGTCGGGTGGTGGTGGGTTTTGGCTTTGTTCTGGGAAGTCCTGGCCCATGTTTGGATGGCTATGGAGTTGATCATAGGGCTCTTAATCGGGTTGGTTTTGGGGAGGTTCCTGTTCCGGTTCCTGGAGATGTGGTGGGAGGGCGTGTGGGAAGAGGTAATGTTGCTCCTCTCTTCCTGTTTTGTAGTGGAGTTGGGGGAGTTCTGGGTTGGGCAAGAGGAAGTATTTGAGGGGTTTGGGGTGGATGAGCCAGTTGTACATATTTCTGAGCCTTTCTTCACCATAAACGGTGTGTGAAAAAGATGTACAACCCGAGTGGCCCAGCCAAGCAATGTTTATCAAACAGTAGTCGGGTATAGGAGAGTTATCCGTATACCCGAACTTTGTGGCCAAGTGCATAATCACCCCGCCCACTACAATAGCGCATTTTGCCACGCTTTCTTTTTTGAGATGTGCCCACATGAGATTACATAGGTTGAAATCCACGTGGACACGGAATAGGGCTACCGAGATGAGGCATACATCCCCCATCCTAGTATGATGGTTGTTGGGACGTCCAAGCAAGGAGTTGGCAAGGAATTTCAAAAATAGGCGGAGGACGGGATGTTGGACATGACTAATATAGAGTTGGGAGGAGCTAAATTTAGTCTCCCCGGTCATCTTGGTCCATAGGGTATGGCCGAAGGCGGTATTGTCGGATATAGATTTTTGGTATGGGACCGGAATACCAAAGTGTTCGGCGAACTCAAGTTTTGTGATGGTGTGGTTGTGGTTAAACAATCGAAACTTGAGTTTATCATCCCTAAAATCCTCTTCATTGTTCTCAAATTGCACAGAGCTTAGGAATTCATAGATAATTTTTTCATTTGAGTGATATTGCATTCTGAAAATCTTATCCATGCTCAACTCATGAAAAAATTTCTTCATCATTTTGTACACTCCTAATTCCTTTAGGGCATCATGGCATAAAAAGCGAGAAGGTTTAACTTGCCTTTCAATTGTGGACATGAAGCGTGTGCGGTGTTCGTTGTCCATGAAGAGGATGTCCTCGTAGCCCGGGATGGATGCCCTAGTTTTTGAGCTTTGCCCTTTCTCTTTCCTTGGAGCCATTTTGGAGTGAATTTGGCCTTGAAATCCGAAATTTGAAGGTGGGGGGTAGGGTTTTTCGGACCTCTGAAATTTGGGGGAGAATGGGATTGGTGAGTATGAGTGTGTAGAGGAGGATGAGGGGAGTGTTTTGGTGTTGAAATGGGATGATTTGGTGAAGAATTGGAAGAGATATGGTAGAGAGAAGGTGTAAAAATGGGGGTTGGGGGCGTTTTGTTCGAATTGGGGTTGGGGATTTTGGGGAAGATGAAGTGTTTGGGGCTGATTTGGGGTTATAATACCCGTATACCCGATCGAGTATGTGCTGGTACTCGGTCGGGTATGTCTAGAAAGTGGCCTTTTTGAGCAGCCTGCCTCCTGTACTCGATCGGGTATGTACTGTTACCCGGTCGAGTATTGCTAGAAAGTTTGGTATTTGAGCAGCCTTCCTCCGGCACTCGATCGGGTAGTGTATTGTTACCCGGTCGAGTATTTCTGAAAAATGAAGTTTGTGAGCAGCCTGCCTCCGGTACCCGGTCGAGTATTCTTCCATACCCGATCGGGTATGTGCTCTTTTCTACTTTTGAGGAATGTACTCGGTCGAGTGTGGGAGTCAGTCTCCTTCAACTTTAGCATTTCTATACATACCCGACCGGGTGTATAGTGATACCCGATCGGGTATCCCTTGTTTTTCAATTTTTGAGTGCTTCCTCGATCGAGTAGTGCCCGGTTCCCTTTTCTTTTGGTCATACCCGGTTCCCCAGATGCTCCAAAACCTGCATTTTTTATACATTTTCTTCCAAAAACCCGTGATTAGTGCCCTCTCTCACTGATCTCTCAAATAATTAGACAAAAAATGAATTCTAAACACTTGAATTAAATAAAAAATAAACATGGGTTGCCTCCCAAGAAGCGCCTTAGTTAACGTCGTGGCACGACGTTATTCATTTTTTTTAAGTGGGATCGTGAACATCCCTTGATTCATTTTTTGTGGCCTTATTTAGCCATTTTTCAAATTTGTTTTTCGGCCTTTTCCAGTAAGGCCGGGGTTTCTTTCTCACTACCACCTCCATTATAGGTGGATTTAGTTCATATTTCAACACGTCCCTTTTTATCACAGATGGCTTGTCGTGTTTATTTGTCCCTTCTTCAAAAAATCCGATTTTCTCCGCTTCTTTTAAAAATACCGGTTCTTGTGGTTCAAGAACATGTAAAGAACAAAGAGTTGGATTGTGCATTTGTTTTTTCGTAGAATCCAAGATGTTGAATTCCACTTTTTGATCATCGAACTCTAAAGTTAGTGAACCACTAGAAACGTCAATTTTCGTTTTTGCGATCTTCATGAAGGGTCTACCCAGAAGGATGGGTGTTGTGTGGTCATCAGTTCCCATTTCAAGGACATAGAAGTCAACAGGAAAGACCATATTTCCTACTTCTACTAGCACATCCTCTACTACACCCTTCGGGTAAGTACTAGAATGATCTGCCAGTTGAATCACTACACATGTTTGATGTAATGGGCCTAGTTGTAGAGTTTTATAAATAGAATAGGGGATGACATTTATTGATGCCCCTAAATCCAACAAGGCCTTAGGAAATGTGGTGTCTCCTATTTTGCAAGGAATAGTGAACATGCCTGTTAGTCCCAAAATACTAACAATCATACAACATAGCAGTGATAAAGAAGCAGATAGAAAGAAATCGACAAGATTGAAACCGAAATCTGGTATACCGTATGAACTGTCCGCTGCTCTCCCTCGAGAAGGAGAGCAGCGGCAAACCTAATTTCTCTCTATCTTTACGCCTCTATCAATTCGTTAGGGTTCCCGTAAGTTAGCCTCCTTTTATAGGAGAAGTTGGCTAACTTACGGGTTACAAGGAAGCCCACGGGATCAATCGTGGCCCGTATTACACGTTTAATTAATAACTACACAAATACAAAGATAACTAACTAGATTGAACACCATAAAATATTCCCAACAATCTCCCCCTTGGTGATCAATCGTGTTGAATCAGCATTGCAGTGCAGATATCTTTGTCTTTGTTGTTATTGAGCTTCCTTTGTCTTTGAACTTGACTTCTGAGGAAGGCTATCTGAAGAAATCCTTGCAATCTCCCCTTTGATGTCTTCTTGACAATTTGATATTTGATACCGGGGGTTGAGGGACCTTCTGTATCTTGCATGTAATCCTTGCCTTCCAGAAGTTGCTCTTGATCAGCTTGGATGAAGTCCGGTGACGCCTCTAGAATGAATGTTCTTTGGAGAATAGGAGACGCCCATGGAATTCATCTTCAGGACACGAGTATTTGACCTCTGTCTCCTCCACAATGTAGTCTTTTTGACTATTTGGAATGAATGCATTTGAGGAGAACTTGTCGGTGGCACAGCGGAACATAATGATGGTTGATTTGTGAGTGTAGCTGACCATTTGATTTGAGTTGTGGAGATAGTAGAGAGGGTGTTGAATTTTGGGATGGAGGAGTGAAGTGTCCCAGAATAATTTGTTCAGTGTTAACAGCATGTGGACCACTCTCCCCCTCATGACGATCCGATAACTCGGGGCGTCATGCCTTTATTCTTTTATTCTGCAGAAATAAAAACAGGAAAAACAAGCAGAATGTAAAGAAGATAACGTAGCCCCCCGGGGTCGTGAAGACGCCCGTTATCATCACTATAGAGATAAACTCTAAAGCAATGGCCTGAAAATGTTGGTGATTCTTATGTTGCAACAGCAGGACTTCCTTCCAATTATTGGTCTACATCTGTAATAGATGAGCCCTATGGAAGTTCTCGCAAGTCTTGAAGACTAGCAACTGACTCTAAAATGTGTCTGTGTCCTAGAAAATTTCAAAACATTTGGGAAGTGAGTAACTAGACACGACGTGATCAATGAAAGTTCAGTGGCATGGGGCTGAGGCCACTGTAGTCAGTATTACTTGCCTCGGAAGGAGACAGTAATGAGAGATGCGGTTCCCCGTGAACTATGATTAAACACCTGTCTGTTGGGAGACAAATGAGTGGTCTAGGGTAGGGTTGTGCATGCGCCATTTGGACAAAATGCAGCGACTTCTACCCGGGATCTGAATAAATTCAGTCCTGAACCTATGGGGATAGTCTAGAGTATTTTAGTGGCTAGGAGCAAATGGTCAATTCATAGCAGGCAATTGAGGTAGCAGACTCATCATTGATAATTGTTTCCTTCTCACTCGAGCCTTCTGCTTCCTAATGCTCATAATGTTCACTCACTCACTCGCTCACTTACGCACATACGCTCGGCTTTGTCCCTTGGGTAGGCTTAGTTGGGTTTACTAAGCCATAGGGACATGTTCTCTCATTACTTTCTTCATTTTCTCTCTGTACTGCCCCTCAACTGGAGCACTCGGTATGCTTTGTCATTGTTAGGCACCGGGAAGGATAACATTGAACACTCCCCCTAAAATGTTGCATCCTTTGAGAGATTCCTTGCTTTGTCGGTGTAAGGCGCCAGGAGGAGAAAACTGAAACTCCCCCTCAGAATGTGCAAGGTTTGATTGCTCACAGCTTGTCATACCCGCCATGTGTGTGGAGCAATCTAAACATGTACCACACATGACGGTTTCCCTGAGCTCACCCTGTAGAATTTCAGCATATTGATGATCACATAATGTTGACGAGTCAGGGGAGGCTTCAGCAGTTGATTGTTGATTGTTGTAAGATGACCGTTGACGCGAGGTTGATTGAATTATCTACGATTTTCAGACCTTTACATTGAAGTTTAGAAAAGCTTTGACCTCAGGGTTGACAATGAAAGAATTTGAACAGATTTGCCTAAGTTCTGACCTGGACATCGGTGATTTACAAAGTTTGTCGGAAAACTAACGTTTTGACCCTCAAAGACTGCGAGTGAGGGCGCGTGAGAAAGGGTTCTGGGGCATAGCCCGATAATTAATGTATATCTTTTCGTTAGCTTTCCAACATAAAAAAATTTGCTCAAATCGGATCACCGAGT